CTGACGCCCGCTAAAATTCGTAGTCTGTACGGGGTATTAGTCTGTGTTTACCTGGGGTTTCTCTTGAAGAGCTGAGCGATGAGCATACGCAGATCGTACGTATAGCGGTTCGACACGGGCGGGTATGAGCCACGCACGATCTTCAACACTAGATTCTTCATGTTCCCCGCTTCAAACTGAAACACACGCGACGAGCACACAGTCACAAAGTTGGTAAAAACTTTTTAAAACAAAATTTTTTTTTTTTAAATTGGGGGGTATTTTTTTTTAAAGTAAGAAAAAGAAAAGGAAAGAAACAAAAAGAAATGAAGAGTTATGTTTTAAGTAAAAATTTAATGGGTGAGTATGTCCCAGACGCATATGGCACGATAGCAGAAGGAAACCCTGTGAATGGAACAGAACTGCCAACAGTGGGCTGGTAGTAGCTGTGAAACACTGTACACCTTGCTACAGAATGAGTGTAAACTACCTGGCCATTTGCTTTCATGAACATCCTTAATTGATTTCCTTAATTGATCCTTATTTGATCCTTAATTGCAGTAAACTGATTCCGATTCTCGGGTGTGAGCCAATATGGGTCAGCGTAAATTATTTTAATAAGACTCACTTGCTGCTCTAGTGAGTATAATCGTGCACGTCTATATGACAAAGAGGAACTCATTAATGGGGGCAGTCTAGTGAAGCTTGCACCCATGTGGTGCTTGCTGCGAATCTCACACCATCACGCAGACACTCAGCTATCAAACACACAGTAGCAGTCTCCCAGAATGAAAGCCTGCTTGCAATCTTCATACAACACTGGGCGTGTTTGTTTGGTCGCATCTACGGATCTCGATCCACTGGATCCTTGGATCTGACTGTTTGTTTGGTCGGATCACTTGATCTCGATCCACCGAACCCGACCCTTATATTATTAGCGAGGTGGATTCGAACGGAATCCAATATGGCGGCCCGCACCTCAGCCAATCACAGCTTGTTCATTGCTATTAACCATCCCGTGATAGGTCACAGCGAAACGCGAACCGTTGAAAGTGAGTTTGCGTTTGTTTGGGTTAGGGTTCGATCCAGTGGATCGAGATCCGTGGATCCGACCAAACAAACACGCGCACTGTACAGCAGGGGTTCTTAACCTGTGGTCCATGGACCCCTTTGGGGTACGTGGATGGGCTTCAGGGTGTCCGTGAACCAGGCGTAAACAAAATTATGTGTTCATGTGCTTATGTTCATTTTTCTGGCGAGGGGTCCGTAGCTTTCACCAGATTCCCAAATAAAATTTAAAATTTGAAATTTAAAATTTGAATTTGAATTTGATATTTTTTTTTAGTTTTAATTTGAAATTTAAAATGTGTCCATGACTCAAAAAATGTGAAGAACAACTGCTGTACAGATTCAAATGAGAAATAAAGTTACAAGTAACGTGTTGCTATACTCACGGCATGTCTGAGGGTGGCCAGCTCGTACAGGACACAGCCCAGTGACCAGATATCACTGAAAACATATGAGCAGCATAGAATCAATACTCATGTCAATTGAACAACAGCACACGATATGTGCATGCCCCTTTAAAGTGATTACGTCACCGTAAATACATGAGAAAAAAAATAAATAAACATAAATAAATAATTCTGTTCACGTTTTATGTTTAAATTGCACGCATTATACTTCCATTTTACTGATATGTGTTCTATGTGAACAGACACTCGTGACTCATACCATAGCCTCAATCCGCAAGCATTAATGCTAGGATCATAATATCAAATCGTCGCAGGTTTTAGGATGTTAGTGTTTGCACTATTCAAAGAAACAATCTGTATCAGTAAGTAATTATGACGATACTGTAGTCCCGTTATTTTTACAATATTTCACCATATGAAATATTTCCAGTGACGTAGTCAATTCCCAGCCTGCGCAGCTACACGTCGAGTAATTTGGACTGAAGGTAAGTTGATCGTCTCAAAATATGGAATTCTCCGTGATTTTTCTGATGCATGCATCAAGAAGAACTCAATAACAACACGTTGGATAATTTTTGAGCTCATGCATGCAAATATCTCAACGTGTGCGGCTAGTCTGCGTAAGATTTACTCAACACTGGTACTCCACGCAATGCGTTTAAATCATTGCGGCCAGTAGGGCAGTCGCACAGTCCACGTGATCGATATACCACTTATACCTCGAGTATTTTACTTTCACGTGATGCGGTCGAAGCGCTGAAATATTTTCGCTGTGAGTATTGTTGACCCAGCATGCATTTTACTGAAGGTAAAAGATTCCTTCACCTGTGTGCGCCGGGCTTCACAACCATAAACTTTGCTGATCAATTACGGGTTTTTGTCAAGCTACCTCTAAGACTTTAAGTAGACAAGCTATCTACTAAACATGCCTAATGAACGAATTGTTTTTACAAGTCAACCAAGTTCACACAATGTTAAGGTAGGTAGTGTGTAACGAAATTGTATTGCTTTCTAAATTTCAATTCCTAGAGGAGACTGAATATCAGATATATACAGCTGAAAATGTTTAAACATATATCACAGAAATGATCAAGACCAGGATAAAAGGGGTCGGGTTATCATTAATGCATCTTCCAAAGTTGAGAATAGAAACAGATACACATAGAGGGGTGCAAATCATCTACTTATCTGTCTTCCCTGAACCTGAGCTAATTTGTTCCTACCATCATCACTGCACTGTGAATAAAGAAGTCATTATACCTCTTGTGGTTATAAGGTCTGTTCTCACAGATCTCCGGTGAAAGGTAGTACGGTGTCCCTATACAGGTCTTCGCAAAATCTGTCGTGCTGCAACGGAAAACGCACACAAAAGGCATTACCCAGATTTGACAGCAACCGTCAATCTCGAGTGAACAAACTACTATTTAAAGAACTAGGCCGACTGTCCACACGTTTGTTTACTTGCGTGCCCCTCTACGATATAAAATCAATGTCACTCGGAACAGAATGCGGGAAAATGCAGTGAAAATTGTTACAGTTGCTTTGGTGTTTTGATGTGAGTAAATTAATCCAGCCACAGCATAAAGCATATAAAAGTTATTACACCAATGATTAGTATAGTATGTTTTGTACACTGGATTGACAAGCTTTGACACAGACCTGTTCAGCACTCGTGCGATGCCAAAGTCACCCAGCTGTACGATGACACTCTTATTTAAAAATATGTTCTGAAACAGAACAATGTTGATTGGACAACAATTAACCCATGTACGCTAGTGCAAAATACAGATAATGGAGTACTATTACATTGTTCAAAATTAATGGTAGTCTATTAGTCCAAAATTACCAAATTTAATTACAAATGAGTAGATTGCAGTAACAACTAGTCCAGTGGACTACCTGACTGTCAATGAAAACTTAAATTTGTTCTGTCGGACAGTTTTTGACTAACACAAATGAATGAAATCATAATCTACCTTATTTCTTCTTCTTGTGAGTTGTTTTTACAACATCTTTTTAAATAAGTTAAACCACCAATTATCAAATATACTTAAAACTATAGTATCAAGCACGTTGATCCATAACAAGGATGCAGTGACATTTGCTGCTTATACTAGCATAGCATAGGCAGGCAGATAAGGTCTATGTCCCCCTGACCTCTGTTTGACCTGGCTCGTTTAGCTATTTCTGACTAATATATATATAGGGTTAGGGTTAGGGTTAGGGTTAGTCAGAAATAGCTAAACGAGCCAGGTCAAACAGAGGTCAGGGGGACATAGACCCTACGAGCCATAGACAGCATAGCGTGACATAGACAGACTCCACTCCTTTTGGCAAAATCACGGAATACCAAAATTCTGAGCTATCAGAATTCCTCACAGATTATCAGATTATAAAATCTACTAGTCTGCGTAACTAACAGACAAAAAAGGTTAATTTCCCACCCTGCTATCACCATCTGATTAAGTTCTACATGCGAAATTATACGTCTATAAAGAATATGAATTTGAGTGGACAAATATGGAAGTAAAATACCTGCGACTTCAAATCTCTATGTAATATTTTTCTGTCATGTACATGCTTGATGGCTAAACAGATCTGTGCAAACCAGTCCAATATCTGTAAGTATAATATTAAATGTCTGGTTTAATGACATTCACTGCACCACAGTATTCACTCTTAATGTAAACTGCACAACATACTAGCTTACATCAAGTTACCATCAGTCTTCAGTCTCTCAAAGTATATACTAGAACTCGTAAAAAAAGTATATAAAATTGAAGATGCATATTTATAACGTAGCTATGTATTTATGGAACATAATATCACATAGAAACTATGTGGAATTGTGTTCTCACAGGAGCACGAGTAGGATATGTAAAAATCTCACAGGAAACTATCTTGCTTACTTTGGCAGAAGTTTACACTGTCACTGCTGACATTAGAATTGCACAGATTTACCTGATCCTCTGTAAAAAGTATTCCATGCTGAAGATTTATCTTAGAGTAAAGGTCTCCCCCATCACAGTAGTCCATCACAATATAAAGCTGTCCTGATTCTGAAGCACAATCAACCATAAATATTTAGTCTACACTGCAGTCCAATAATGCGAATGTTTTCAAGTCATTGCAATTGCATGCTACCTCCAACCATATAAAGGAAATGTGATAACGAAATAGACCATTACGAATGAACTGTGTTTGTCAAAGACTAATGTGTAATTCGTTTACCCTCAAATGATTCTCTGTATGACACAATGTTAGGGTGCTTCATGCGAGACAGGACGGCGACCTCCTTCCTGGCTTCCTCTCTCTCCTTGGGAGTCATCTTCACATGAAACACAGTGACAGCAGTAACTTTTAGTACCCCTATCTTCCGTGTATAGAAAATTAACGGCTAAAAATGATAGTTCTTACTTGTTAGCCTGGAACTGTCATATTTACCTGCAGAGCAGTACTCACATATCTCTATAAATTTATATATATAATCTGTGATCATATATATTGTTATTGTCTTCACGACTCACGGCCTCCGCTCTATCCACGTATCCAGAGAGTCCAGTGTTTCCCCTGAGGTCTGTGAGGTTGTCAGTTTGTTTGGTGTTTGCGTGTTTCGAGGCCCCTGCCCAGCTAGCGGGTTTCTCCGAAATTTTGTTGTTGTTGAAAAAATGGTGCAATTTGGTGCATTCTAAGCTATTCTGAACGATTTTCGTCATCGACGCGGAGTATTTCTGTGTATAGCGACTGAGAATTTGAGCGAGGTGACCCGCCTCGGTCATGTCAGTGCAGGGGAGACACTGGAATCGATATTAGGTTTATAACGCACGCATTCATCTGGTGTGACTGAGGTGAGTGATAGATGGATGAATGTCAGAGCCAACGGAACCTCAATCAAGAATACATAATAACAAGACCACATTTCAGCGTACATCTATCACATTTACAGTATATTTCTCACATTTACAGTATATTTCTCACATTTACAGTATATTTCTCACATTTACAGCTTATTTCTCACATTTACAGTA